ATTTTAAAACCATCAAGCTATCCATGTGATGGCATGCAGATTCTTTGTGATCTGGCCTGCTTACCATGCCAGCCTCACGTCTTCATGAGCTTCTTTTCCCTGCTTGTGCTTCAGCTCTTTGAGCTGCTTTGTGTGTCCTGGACCTTGACATGCTGTTTCACACGTTTGTTTTGTACACAAATCCCTTCTTCTACAATGCCCTCTTCCCCTCATTTGTCTTGTGGAATGTCTCTTCTCTCAAGATTCATCTCAAGTGTTAACTCCTCCATGAATCTTTCCTCAACCCCTCCTCTCCTTGGTAGAACTGACCACTCTGCTCTCTGTGTATCTCTGTACCCTAACTAAGCTGTTATTAAGGCAACCACAACACTTTCCTATCCTTATATGGATAAGTATGAGTCCCTCCCTCTTAGACTTCTATGAATTTCTTAAATGCTGGGACCATGTCTTACTAATCCATTTTATCCATAGTAGCTAGCACAGTGTTGGGCATATAGAAATATTGTTGAACGAATGGAAATATTTGTTTGCACATGAAGTATGTTGTTTGGACAGAACATCTCATGCCAATACATTGTGAGATTTATATTACTTTTACTTAGAGCATCAATTTGTAATTTTTTTTCCTTCCTAAAGGACTGAATGTGAAATTCCGAAGAGGTACATGCAGCTTTAGAGTAACTAAATGTTTTGACAGTCTACCAACTAGAGCAGTGGGTAGGAGTGGCGAGAAGATATTGTAGTCTACCTGCCACACTTCTTTTCACCTGAGAAAGTCCTGGGAAAGTGATAACAACGAGTCGTCACTGTACAAGCCAAATTTGGTATGGTAGTTACATACGTATCTACCTTAGCAATGGGAACGTGGATGATTCATATTTGAGCCACAATGCACATATTGTATTATGCACAGTAAAATGAACTGACAAGAATGAAATTAAACATTTAATTTAAAAGCAAGAATAACAGCAATGGAAAACCATGACCAACTCAAGAAAACACAGATACTGTGATAGCAAGTATCGCAATCAATCCTTTCCCCAAATCCCAGAAATGTCAATTCTAGTGTATATGTGCCATATGGCAAACACTACATGGCAGCCAGACTTCTTGATTACTAGCAGCCAAATGCAATCTCTGGCTGATACATTCTGGTCCTATCTCAAAACCATCTATATCTTCAATATTTCCACCTACTCTTGAATCTCAGCTCAAGGAAAACCTCCTTGAGAAAGCCTTCCTTTGTCTGGCAGTACAGTCTGTATACACCCTCAAAGAACTTTCTTTCCTCTAGGGAGCTTATTTTAGTTTGTAATTAAATATTCAATACTTACATTTTTTTTTTTTACTAACAGTTGCCTCCCTAAAGCATCTATGAGCTCCAGAAGATTAGAGATCTTCCTTGTCTTATTCACCATATTCCCCCCTGTGATTAACACATAGCCAGGCACTCTACAAACATGCATGCATGCATGAATGAATGAATGAATGAAAGAATGATTCCTTCACTTCTTACTCATTGCCGTGTTTTCTTAAGAATTATACCTGATTCCTTATGAGACTCAAGCTGGTACTCAATTTATTCCTCATTATTTCCCCACCCTTCCACAAGGATCAGTCTTTATTATCTAACCTACTCCCCTCCTAACCTCCATTCAAAAAGACTTCTTACAAGTGGCAGCTTCTAACCAACCTGAACTTTCTGACATGTGTGGGATCCAGGTCTAGGTCATGCACCATGAAAAAAGAGAACAAAATAAAAGAAATGTAGTGACTTAGAGTACCTATTCATTAATTAATTCATTTATTTTTAAAGATTTATTTATTTATTTTAGAGAGAGAGAGATAGAGAGAGGGTGGGGGTTGCAGGGGGAGAGAGAGAGGGAGAGAGAATCTTAAGCCGACTCTGCACTGCACACAGAGCCCAACAAGGGGCTCTATCCCACCACCCTGAGATCACGACTTGAGTTGAAACCAGGAGTCAGATGCTTAACCAATTGTGCCACCCAGGCGCCCCCTACTAGGTTATTTTAAACATTCTACATAACTCTTATAAAACCTATTAGCTCATAACAAATAATTTAAAAACACTTCTATTTTATCATATAGATAAAAATGAGGTTTCTTGCTGATTTTTTTTTCCATTTCTCAATATATTTTGGCCTGGAATAGTAAAAGCCTTGGAACTGAAATGACTGTGCTGATTGTTAGCAAGAAGTTAAGACACATGTGTGATCTTTTAGCATAATTACCTGGAGATTATTCCTAAATGACAGGGCCTTGTGTTCCAGGATTCTTCTCCACTCAAGAATCTTGGCCTGTTCCTCCCTTTCTACTTCTCTTCCTCTCTAACCTTCTTCTACATCCCCCTCCCCTGTTGTCTGCCACAAAGCTATGTCCCTGAGCCCCTTCACAACTATAGATCATCCATCTTTTGAGGTTCTTACAGAGGAAGCATCCTTTGCCTGTCACTCTGCAGGTCCTGGGTGGAGAAGGGAGAGGCAATGAAAAGGTGTAATTGGCGAAGTTCTAGTTTCAGGAATAGTAACTAGTGAGGTGTTAGGAACCACTTTTGGGAAATACCCTTCATTAATTCTCCTCAGTTCCAGACTCTACTTAAATCACACTTGGAGAGTCTAGTTTAAGGGAAAGAACATAGCATAGCACTCAGCATAGACTCTTCCCTAATGCTGGGAGGGTTCAGGAAAGTTAAATGAAGTGTCCTCTCTGTAGTGGGCTCCCTATCCCAAGGGCCACCCCAGGGAAAGACTTTGAAGACAGCCGGGTGGCGCCAGTGGGGAACACTGGAGACTATGGGATGTGGGCAGTGGCAGTGATGTCACTTTCTTCTGGTACTTTCATTAGGCAGGAGGTGGGATAAAGAATCAAAAGGAGGGCAGTCTGGGTGGCTCAGCGGTTTAAGTGTCTGCCTTCAGCCCAGGGCGTGATCCTGGAGTCCCGGGATCAAGTCCCATGTCAGGCTCCTTGTAGGGAGCCTGCTTCTCCCTCTGCCTCTGTGTGTGTGTGTGTGTGTGTGTGTGTGTGTGTGTGTGTCTATCATGAATAAATACAATTTAAAAAAAAGAATCAAAAGGAGGGGACAGAGCAAGAGTAAGAAAGGACGTGAGCAAAAAAAGACATACATAGACAAATACTAGTACAGACATTGTAGAGGATAAAACTTTTGCATTATTTGATTTAAAAAACCATAGGCACGTGTTACCTGTTGAAATGACATTTTTCAGTCTAACGCTCTCCCAACTGAGCTATCTCGGCCCCTTGAAATGACATTTTTAAAAATAATAAAAGACCCCACCGGTCTGGAGCCCCGAGCTCCTCCCAGGCCTGCCGCCCAGCCCGGTGCCGCCGCCGCGGTGACCTCGAGGCGCCTGCGGGCCGGGAGCCCGGGAGCCCGGGAGCCGGGAGCTCGGGGCTGGCCGCGGGGCCTCAGTCGCACGTGCGGCGGACTCACTAGAAAGCACGGCGGGGAGGGAGCCCCGCGGCCCGGGTCGCCCCCGCGGGCCCGCCCCCCCCCCCCAGGTGGCAGGTGCTGCCCCCGCCGCCCCCGCCGCGACCTCGGTCCTACCTGCCGCCCCGGCCGGGCTCCCGGGCCCGCCGCGGAGGTGCACGAGGCTGCGCTGCCCGCCCAGCTCGCGACGCCGGCGGGGCCCCAAGGTCGCAGCGTCGGGGAGGCGCGGCGGTCGGTCCGGCAGCCCCCGCAGCCCCTCGGAGCTCCGCCCCCGCCCGCCCGCCCGCCGCCCGCCGCCCGCCTGCCCCTGCGGAGCGCGGAGCCCCCCGGCCGCCCGCCCTGCGACCTCGGAGCCCCGGGCCAGGGGGAGCCGCGCGCCTCCCCGCGATGCGGCAGGTGCCCCGGGACCGCGGGGGGTCCCCGGACCCCGGACCCGGGACCCCGCTCCTGCAGCCGGAGAGCGCCCCCCGCCCCCATCCTCCTCCCTGGAACAGGAGAGCGCTCTTAGGACAACTCCACCAACCTGCTCTGTGCCCGGAGTGGGAAACTTTTTTTTTTTTTTTTTGGGTAAAAAACCCTACAAGAAATCCAAAAGCCCATGCCCAAGCTCTTACTCATTCTGCAAGACCAGGTCCAGCGCTGCCGGCTCCCGCAGACCTTCTGGGGCTGGAGACCGGCTCCCTGCGGGCGTCTGTCCGCGTCCCCACGCCCGCGGCTCGGGAGCTCCCGGCCGGAGGCAGGCACCTGCCGCGCGTCGTTTCCTGTACCCACCACCCTGCCCTCGTGGACGCGGGACCAGGCCTTGCTCATTCCAGTCCCCAGCCCCTGGCAGGGCGCCCGCCACCTAGCAGGCGCTCGAATATATATATATATATATTTTTTTTTTTTTTGAATAAGGGGAAAATTAATTTTCTTCTGTAGAAAACTGTTTTTGTTTTGTTTTTTTTTATTTTTTGTTTTTGTCCTCAAGCAACACGTACTCCTTTGGGTGGACAGGTTGCTAATCTCTATGAAGAACCTCAAAAATGGTCCCTTTGATGCAGTAATTTCATTCTTGGGGATATTTCCAGGACAAAATATTCATGTGCAGATGTTTGTAGCAAAATAACAACAACAACAAAAACAACAATAATAACAATATATTAATATAATAATTAATACTAATATAATAATATAATAATTATTATTATTTACGTAAAATAAGGCTAGTAAAGAAAAAAAATGGTAAAAGCAAACAAAGCCAAACTGTCAATGGGAAATTGGTTAAATAAATTATGGGAGGATAACTTAATGAGATATTACACAATTCTCAAAATGAAAGACATCAAGGCAGGAGTGCCTGACAATGTTTTTTTTAGAACAAGAGGGAGTATTTATCCTTAAAATTAAAAAAAAAAAAAGGAAAATATGGAGTAATGCGAACAAGTGTTTGCAAAGTAACATTAAGACAAAGGAGTAAAAAGTTGCATAGTTACTAAGCTTAACAACTTCCAGTAAAAATGCAGATCTGTAAAATGGAAATAACACTTACCTTGAGAGATTCTTAGAGTCTTAAATGTAATTAAATATTTCAGAAAAGCGCCTGATACGTCGTGGATACTCAGCAAAAAGTTTCCATTTTCTTGCTTCACAGGAGCACCTTCTCACATCTGCAGACTCTCGGATACATCCTCATCATAGCCCAGCTCTGCCCACGGATTTACTTCCCCTCAAATGCAGCATAAGGGGAGCTGAACAAATGTTCAAGCACCAGCATAAAGCAAAGAAGAGAATCTAGTTAATAAGAATAGATGCCAGTCCTCCCGCAGATGCGAATGCCCAGCAATACAGGCTCCCAGCGGGGGATTTGGCTTGGTGGCAGTACTTGCCAAAATGCCTTAAAGATTGTAGTTGGCTTCGAGCACAACGTAGTCAGCGCCCAAGACTGAATTAAGCCCCCCCACCCCCCACCCCGAACTGAATGACACTGCAGCCCGAGGCTGAATTAATACTCTTCAATGATCAACTTGTACCTGGGCATAATGTTCAAATGTCTTTAATTAAGAAAGTGTCACTCTGAAGAGCTATTATTACATTTTAAGATGAAGAAACTGAAGCTTACAGCAGTTAGGTGACAGAAGCATGACCTGGAATCTGATTAGTTTGACCACAGCCAAGGTGTTTGACCACTTTGCCGGGGAGTCTAAGTGTGTACACCTCCCACCGGAGGTGCAGTAGATGGTCTTGAGTGGTATGCGGTTGATGACGTTAGGAAACAGTGGATCACATGGTGAGAACTGGAAAGTTCTCTTAATTCTATGGATTATGTCTAGGAAGAACTATCATTTTTGTGATTCTTTGTCTTTACACCCCTCTAACACTTGCTGATCTGTTTTTTAACAAAGAGAAAGCTTGCCTCGGGCTCAGTCAGCGCCTTTGCTAGGCAACAGTTCCTAAGTAGAATTTAATATCATCACTTTCTCTTCCTTCTGATATTATTCTTTACTCTGTTAATTTCTAACTGATACAGGTTTTCCACTTAGAAGGTGCTGTAGTTTTCATTTAAGGTAAATCTATATACATAATTGGGTAACTTCAAGGAAAGATATTAAAAAATGAGTAAGACCACTGATATTTGGACATGGTAGAATTGGCAAAATGAAGGTGGTACACGAAGGCCTGACATTTGGGAAATACTGCCTCACACTCCGTTATGACCAGTGGCTGGATGGGATGGTGGGGCAGGTTTCAGTTCAAAATGAACAGGGACTGGGACACCTGGGTGGCTCAGCAGTTGAGCGTCTGCCTTCGGCCCAGAGAGTGATCCCAGGGTCCTGGGATCGAGTCCCGCATCAGGCTCCCTGCATGGAGCCTGCTTCTCCCTCTGCCTGTGTCTCTGCCTCTCTCTCTCTCTCTCTCTCTCTCTCTCTCTCTATCATAAATAAATAAATACAAATTAAAAAAAAAAGAAAACCTAATTTTTCCTGCATCCACCCTTGCCTCTCTGCAATCTATTCTTCCCATAGCAACTGGAATGATACATTTGAAACAACTTGGATGATGTCATTTCTTGTTTAAAACCCTGTCTGTAATGGCTTCCTATCTCACTAGACTAAAATCCAGTCAAATTCATGGCCCATAAAGTCCAGCATCATTGGGCTGTGCCTCTGATCTCATCTCCTATAATCCTTCTTGGCTCCCATACACACTGGTTTCCTTGTTGGGCTTTCAGTGTGCTCAGCAGACCCTGCCTCAGAGACTTCCATTCACTTTTCCCAGTTCCCAGTCTGGAACACTCTTTTTGCTCTCTGCTCAAGTGTTACCTTTTCAGAGATGCATTCCTCTGGGATTCCTATCCCCCGAAGCATAGCCTCTCTTTCACCCCACATCATCACTATTTCTTTATCCTGCTTTACCTTTTATTAAGGGTGTTGGAAAATTTATTTATGGAAAATTTATAAAGTTGGGAGGGGAGACAATGGGGGTCAGAGAAGTTAGAGCAAATCACCGCACAGAAAATAACTTAAAAATAAATATATAATACTCTCTTTACAAACACACAAATCCAGCTGCCATGAATTTCTTTCCTTTTTTTTTTTTTAAATTTTACTTATCTAGTCACGAGAGACAGAGAGAGAGAGAGAGAGAGAGAGAGAGAGAGAGAGGCACAGACACAGGCAGAGGGTGAAGCAGGCTCCATGCAGGGAGCCCAATGTGGGACTTGATCCTGGGACTCCAGGATCACACCCTGGGTCAAAGGCAGGTGCTAAACTGCTGAGCCACCCAGGGATCCCCCTGCCATGAATTTCTTATTGGCTGTCTTTCCTTCTGGGTCACTAGTTTCCTGTCTCATTGCTCGAGGGTGTTCTCACACTCTCATCTCTAGCCTATGTCCTCTTTATATCCTGATCCTTCTTAAGATGAGCTAAGAAACTCAGATGGGGCCTAATCATTTTGTTTTGTTTTAATTAACAAATTTTCTTGAAGCAGAACACATATTTAGAAATATGTACAACCTGATGAGCACTTGTACCTCTTTCTATTCTGTAAAACTCTCAGAAAGTAATCATTGTCCTGACTTATAACAACATAATTTATATTTATATTAATGGAATTATTCAGTAAATACTATTTTATATCTAATCTTTTTCACTCAATAACTTGTGAGATTCAAGCAGGAGTTTGTTCTTTTTCATTGCTGTAGAATATTCTCCCGCATGGTTGTGCCACAATCTCTTGATCCATTTCACTTGATGGGTATTTGAGTTGCTTCCGATTTTGAGCTATTATGAATAATGCTGCCATGAATGTTTTTTGGTGTACATGTGCTTGCATTTCTGTTGGGCAATATATCAGAGTAGAATTATCGGGTTAATAAAATAAGAACTCTCATTTATTACTGGTAGAAATAGAAATTAGTATGACCACTTCAGAAAGTTCTTTGGCAATATCTTCCAGTGCTAAACATATGCGTGCCTTTTATATTCTAGGTTCTTTGTCAATTATCAATATTAAAAATGTTTTTTCCAATTCTGTGGTTTGCCTTTTCACTCTCTTAATAGTGCCTTTTCATGAACAGAAGTTCTTATTTTTAATGTAGTCTTCTTTATGGTTAGTGTGCTTGCTCCTGCTGAGGAAAGCTGTGCTTATACCAGGTTATGAATATATTCTCCAATGTTGTCTTCTGGAACCCTTATTATTTTCCTTGTACTTTAAGATCTATGATCTTCCTAGAATAGATTTTTCTATGATCAACTTTCATTTTTTTCCAATGAATATCCAACTGACTTGGCACCATTATTGAAAAGATCAATATTTCCCTCCTGTTCTTTATGTTATCTTTGTCATAAAACACCCAACTATGTGTGGGTCTGTTTCTGGATACTCTATTGTGTCCCATTATGTATTTTCCTATTCTTTTGCCAAGATACCAAACTTTTTTTTTTTTATTGTGGCTTTATAGTAAATTTTGAAATCTGGGACAGTAAGTCCTCTAACTTCATTCCTTTCTAAGATCATGTGAGCTGCTATTGGCCGTTTGCATTTCCATATACAGTTTTAGAACCAGCTTGCCAATGTACACATGCACACACACAATGTTACTGAAATTACATTGAATTTATAGATCAATTTTGGAGAAAATTGACATCGTATAGTTAGACTTGCAATCTACACACATGACATATTCTCCAACTTATTTAACTCTTCTTTAATTTCTCGCACTAATAACTTGTAGTTGTCTGTGTATAAGTCTTGCACATATTTTCTTAGATTAATTCATAGGTACCTGATGCTTTTACAAAAGGATTTATTTATTTATTTATTTATTTATTTATTTATTTATTTATTTATTTATTTTTGAGAGAGAGAGAGAGTGCCAGTGGGCAGAGGGGCAGAAGGAGAGAGAGAAAATCCTCTAGCAGACTCCCGCTAAGCATGGAGCCCTATGTGGGGCTTGATCCCAGGACCCTGAGATCATGACCTGAATCAAAAGCAAGAGTTGGCTGCTTAACCTACTGAGCCACCTGGGCACCCCTTGATGCTTTTTTTTTTTTTTAAATCCCTGGGTGGCTCAGCGGTTTAGCACCTGCCTTTGGCCCAGGGTGCGGTCCTGGAGTCCCAATACAGTTGTATTTGGCAACACTTTAAAATTTCATTCTTAATTGCTGCTGATACTTTGCTATATTTCTCTTCTTAGGATACATCAGCATCTCATCACCTGACATATTTATGTGTTATTGTCTATCTCTCCTACAAAATGTAAACTCTGAGAATAGAGATTTTGTCCACTTTGATCACTGATTTATTTTCAGTGCCTCAAACAATTCCTGGAGTATAATAAGTGCCATGAATATACGTTGAGTTGAGTTGACTTATATTGAACTGAAATCTTGCAATTCATACTTTGTTCCTCTAGAACAATACAGAATAAGTCTCCTTCTTGTACATGCTGGCCCTTCAATTATTCCCTTCTCAAAGCCAAGTTCTTCACTTCCTTCAGCCATTCCTCAAAGGCAGGTTTTACAGACTCTCTCATCATATTGTCTTCTTTCCTCATTGTGAGCTCTGGTTTACCAACGTTCTCTTTCATTCTGGGCTCCCAGGCTCATATGGCTGATGCCTATTGTGAATTTAGAATGTTATTTAGCTGGGCAGCCCGGGTAGCTGAGTTGGCTCTTTTTTTTTTTTCTCACAATAGTGATGACCAAAATAAGATTGTGGTCAAACAATATCCTCAGCCTGTATTTTTGAAATAAAGTTCCATTATTTTAACATCAGTGCAGAACTTTTGCCAGAGGTAGTTGTACCATGAAGCTAATAAAGTTTAAATGTCAGGATCCTTCATTTGTATGGGTTCTGTGAATCAGCACACTTAGGTTGTTTCCATATCTTTGCTACATAAATAATGTTGCACTGACAACAGTGAGGGTGTAGATATCTTTTGAGATAGCAATTTGATTTTCTTTAGATACATATCCAGAAATGGAATTACTGGATTACATGGTAGTTCTATTTTTAATATTTTGAGGAAACTCCATTCTGTTTTCCATAGTGGGTGCACTTGGGAAGTGCCCTTTTCTCTATATCCTCACCAATGCCTCTTACCTCCTGTCTTTTTGGTACTAGCCATTTTAATAGGTGGGAGGTGATATCTCATTGTGGATTTGAAATGTATTTCCCTGAGGATTAGTGATATTGAGCACCTTTTCATATCCCTGTTGGCTATCTGCATATCTTTTTTGAAAAAATTCAGGTCTATTCAGTTCATCTTAACTGACACTGTGTTGTATAGCTGAAACTAATATAATGAT